GACGAAGTCTAGATCCCCCAAGCATTTTGTGTGAGTCCATTTTATGCCTGTTTCCTCATTACCCACTGTTTGTCGCGTTATTCAATCTACTTCAATCAGGAAAATCATTGGCGATAGTAGGCAGGCTTGTCTTACTCCTGTCCTCACTTCGAAGGATTCCGTAAGTTTCCCGTTGTGGATTACTTGGCATGCAGCATTGTCGTACAGCTGTTGGATGAGATGTATTATTGTCGGTGGCACCCCGTAGTAGCGAAGTAGTTTCCAAAGCACCTCTCGATAGACGCTGTCGAAGGCCTTTTCAAAGTTGATAAAGTTGAGATAGAGAGGTGACTGCCATTCCAGGTTTTGTTCAATGATGATCCGTAATGTGGCGATCTGATCAATACATGACTTGTTTCTCCTGAATCCAGCCTGTTCCGGTCGAAGTTTTTCATCCAGGGCTTTTTTGATTCAACATGTCTTGGTAAGCCAATTTTAAGACCATGCGTTGTTTTACATAATAATATTTCTCCTCTTCTTTTTTTCTTAATCTTCTATCGGTTTTTTTTCAATCCCTGAACAAATAATCTGATATATGTACTGACTCAACTTTGACCCTTTATACTCCGCTACGTTTTAAATGAAGATGTATGACAAGTACGCATGTGATCATTTTCATGATAATCAAATTACATTTGAACAGTATTAATGGCTATAAATCAATATCATCATCAAAATTAATGAGGTGTCGGTGATTCAGGAGTAGAATGCTCGCCAGCCATATATGTGGTGCAGGGCCCAATTCCCGACCGCAGTACTCATAAAGTTCACACAACCGGTAGTAAGCCTGGAGAAGAGGGAGGGGGTTTAGGCATGAAACCAGCAATCCCATCCTGTAAAAATAAAGTACTATCACTGCTGAAACTTCAAAGTTTTGAGACTGAAGCTCTATGTTTTCAGTCGGGACACAAAGGAATGACGAATGAGTACTGGATATCCACTTCTCTTTATTTTAGAATTTGTCAGTTACGTCAGGTTATCAGTTGCTGTGCCCTACGAGTCTATAAAAGCTGACAATTATGAGGAACTAGGTCTCCAACCAATGGACGGACAGCCCCTATATCATGATTATTATTTATCATTGTACCCTTGGATTTCGAGTGGAACACAGGACTTCAGAAGTGCATTTCTCCTTTACTTTGTTCTCTGTAGTCCGTTTAAACTTGCTTCACAATTTCCCATAAGCCTTAATTCCCTTCTCACACGATCTCCTCCATGTCACACTCCAACCACTGTCCAACTTGTTATCTCCAATTAATGTTCCATTCGAGGACCTAATCGACGGTATCATTCAACAGTCTCCTTAGTGTATACTTATTCCATCTCCATTTTCATATGCACATTAGTCGGTTCATTCCTAGAGTTCCTTACTGCTAACTCTTTCCGGCCGTTTTATCTTCATTATCGAAAGAAAACAGCCGCTGGCAAAGTTTGAATTACCTTGGCCAAGGTGCTTTTCATGACACCCGAACCTACAGTACCATCTAGAAGTCCTAAGTTGACATTAGTGTTGAAAATCTGAATCTTATTCCTTGATAGCCTCTGTAAGACCCGATATTCTAAAAATCAGTTTTGTAGAAGCCTGTAGGTCCATAACACTAAGTAACCCAATATTAGGACAAATCATGAGTTGAGTACCCCTTGTTTTTAGCCACTGCTACAGTGATTTAGAATTTAATTGGTGTATGGTGAGCAGCAGTGGAGTCCAGGATGCGCATTTCGTCCCTTTTGGGACTCGTCATCTGGATGTACCTGCATGGCCCAGTGAGTGATGATGAGGCTCGAGCCCTTCGGTCCAGTCAGTCGACGGGAAAATCAAAGAAATTCAACTAAATAAGTGATTTAGAATATTTTGCAGTTTCAATTTGTATGTTGTTACTGCTATTCCCCTGGCATTACTACTGCCTACCTAACATCTTAATGAAACACAAGATATACTGGAAAACGCTCTTTTCTACAACTGTAATCGGTTATATATTCAGGATTAATCTTCACTATACCCTAGAGTTGAAATAACATAGCACCAGCAGGATTTGAAGCATATATTGTTGAATTTCTTTGACAATAATTGGGTTATTAAAACAACCAGTGTTAGTTCGACAACTAGACGGCTATATTGTCTTCTTTCGTGGTAAGAACAAACTTTTGATGTTCAGTTCCTTTTTGGAGTAATTTGTGTAACTTTCCTTCCTACACAGGTTGATATTAATATATTTAAACTATGAGTTGAGGTTGAAAATAAAACCTGAGTTGTAGCAGAATATAAACTAACTTATACCGAACTCTGGCCTGGAAAAAACCAATTTGACCAGTTTGTCAGTAACTCCAACTGTCGTTTTATCACATACTGATTTGTCTCCAATTGCTCAGCCAGTAGAGCAGAGAGGAATGACAATCTAGAGCCCTCTGAAATGCATGCCAACGAAACTTAGGCCAGTTACCACTCCATAGACTTTTAGTCGTGTTTTTTTCATAATGCAAACGCTTTTGCATATTATTATGGCAGTTGTGTGACTTAAAAAAACAGAGGTTATATATATCTGCATGTACCGAAGCACATTAAAGTTAATCCCTGAAATTCTATCCAGTTATTCTATATAATAGTTATCTGAATCCGACTGTCTAGTATCCTATCCCCTAAATATTCATATAATTGAATACTCTTCGGTTGGCTACAAAGAAGGATATCGTGAGAATTTTAACTTAGGATAACACAACAATCCTCAACAGGTCTGTATGCCAGGATCTGAGTCGCACACACACACACACACACACACACGCCCATACATCTACACGTAAAACTCTCAATTTACATTTTACACAATTTCAGATGGAATTTCATCCCAGTTTCCTTTGAAAACCGAATTTATTCAGATCAGAATAGAATAACCACCTACCTACCAACCAGTCAGTATTGTCTAACATGCAATATAATACAATTGGAATATAACCGTACACCATGATGTTGAACCATCTAGCACAGTGGGGTAGCACTGTACAACACCAAGTACTAGACGTATGGAATTAGTTAATACCTAGTGTCTGATCAAAATATCTTTTACAGTATTTAATTGGTGGGTTTTGACTAGCAGTGGAATTCACCAGGATAACGCGCATTTCGTCCTATTTGGGACTCGTCAACCAGCTGGATATACCTGCATTTCTCAGTGAGTGAGTGAGTGATGACGTTCCCACCACCGAGGCTTGAACCCAGTGCCCCTTAGTTTCAAACGCCAAAGCGTTATCCACTAGACTACTTGGGCCACGAGAGCTAGTCACCTCTTGTGCAACGGACATCGTCGAAGCATCTGCTCAAGAAAGGAAGCCAACAGACATGTCAACCAGAGACCGAGCACTTCGGTCCAATCAATCGACGGGAAAATCTAAAATTCAATTATATGTATTACAGTCGTACTGGAGATTAATCGCAAAGGTCGAATAGCTTAACGGTAACACCTTCATCGACTTTGAAAAGGCCTTTGACAGCGTCGATCGAGAGGTGCTTTGGCAACTACTTCGCTACTACGGGGTGCCACCGACAATTATGCATCTCATGCAACAGCTGTACGACAATGCTGCATGCCAAGTAATCCACCACGGGAAACTTACGGAACCCTTCGAAGTGAGGACAGGAGTAAGACAAGGCTGCCTACTATCGCCGTTGATTTTCTTGATTGCAGTAGACTGGATAATGTGACAAACAGTGGGCAATGAGGAAACAGGCATAAAATGGACTCACACAAAATGCTTGGGGGATCTAGACTTCGCCGATGATATATGTCTGATTTCCCACAAACTGGAAGATATGCAAGCGAAAAGCAACAAGTTGGCAATAGAAGAAGCATCAAAGATAGGACTTCAGGTGAACATGGAGAAAAGAGAGGTGATGAAGATTCCTGGACAAGAACAACAACAACTGACAACAATCAGCATAAATGGGAGGAACCTGAAAAAAAAACCTCTTTCACCTACATGGAAAGCATCGTTTCAACTACAGGCAGACGGAACTGACGAGGATATCAAAGCAAGACTCGGAAAAGCAAGACTAACTTTCACTAATCTCAAGTCTGTGTGGAGGTCAACAGCACTCAGCATGAGAAATAAAATCCGGATTTTCAACTCCAATGTGAAGTCAGTCAGTGCTACTATACGGATCAGAGACTTGCACTGCGCGTCATGAAGAGCACCTCAAACAAACTACAGGTCTTCTTCAACAGTTGTCTTCGCTCAATACTGAAGATCAGATGGCCGGCCAGAAAAGATCAGCAACAGGGATCTCTGGCAATGAGCGAACCAACCAGGAACCGATTGTGAAACAAATAGGTAGGAAGAAATGGAGATGGATTGGCTGGCCATACTCTGAGGAAACAATGCATCAAGTGACATCACTAGACAATCCATTGCTCGAGTGGAACCCGAAAGGGAAGTGGCGAGTCGGTCGTTGGTGTGAGAGTGACTTGGAGGAGGTCATGTGAAGAGATGAAAGCCTGTGGGCAGACATGGAGCCAGGTGAAGACTCTAGCAGAGAACCGAACGCAATGGAGACGCACGGGTGAAGCCCTATGTTCCTCTAGGAATTAAAGGATACAATAATAATAATAACACCTGTGACTGCAGCACTGAGTGACCCGGTTTTTAACCTCCCAATAGGGATGGAAATAAGTTCCTTAATGATCACAGACACATCTTGCTGATAAGAACTAGTAAGCATAAAACCTAGATCGGATAAACCTTTCTTCCGTCCGATTGTCTCCAACCATCTTAATAAGAACAATTGAGAATAGCCCATGATGACAAGCCAGCGCCTGGCATACTGGACACAATGCAACCAATCAAAGAATCTAATTTTGTTTTTAGAAAAAGATTATTTTATATTTAAACCTTAAAAATAACAACTTTACAAAGTTAATTTAATTATTAGTAATATTATACATATTATAATATAATATAAAAGTATACCTGTACACAGAGTTAATTTCATATAGAAATAAAAAAGTATAAAATTACTAAAATAGTCCAGAAGTTATATACAACAACAGAAAAAGGTTTAATGTTTGAGATAAATTATTAAGAAATTATTACTTTAAATGAAATAAATGTGTACAATATGTCTATCACAGGTATTTTACTTTATTTGCTGTTAGTGTATAACACTCTTTACTTTCGTAACCATGTTTGTGTATGCAATCCTTGTGATTCTTGTAAGAATGAACTACTCCTTGACTTGATAAGTACTCTACTCGTTGGAAGATCACCATCATCAACGTCGCCACCACCACCACCACCACCAGCACACTTTGTGATGAAAACATTTGAAGAAGATGAAGAAGAATTTGAATTAATGAAGGCGGATCGTATTTCTTGACCTGATTTTTGACGTTTCCATAACTGAAATGGATCCAGTTTATTAGTAGGATTAGTAGTATTGTTCGCGGTAAGAATTGTTTGAAGTAAATTTGTTTTCTGACAGTCTTTCTGATGGATGCGTGTAGTAGTAGCTTTAGTGATATCAATAGTTGACTTTGTACGTGGAATATGTACACGATTTGGATCACTACGTGAGAAATTCTCTTTTCCTGTTTGTGAATGATCTGTTTTTATTGATCCCAATGAGTTGTACTGATTGTTTGAGCATATCTGAGTGATAGATTCACAGGGAATCTGAAATTTGAAATAATATTATTAGTAAGGTTTTAGATTATAAATGGTGGTTACGTTTCCGTAAATCTACACACACACACATAACCAACCGACATATAGTAAGCAGTTTAATATTTTTTTAAAATCTGACATCTTTGACTTCAACAACTTCACCTCATGAAACGCTTCCAACTCAACATTTACCCCCTCAGATTACAGAACGTATTCTCCATTATTTTGGAAAACGTAGTCATAGTCCTTTGATGTAGTTGCGTTCTCTCAGATGGATGGTTTATTTGCGAAGCTTTCATTGCCCTGCTAGACAACATGTTCAGCGCATATTCCAATTTGAAATGAGCTTTTAGACTTCTCCACGAACACTTATAAAATCGTGGAGAAATCTAAAAGCTCACTTCAACAAATTGGAGTATGCGCTGAGGATGTTGCCTAGTAGGGCAATGAAAGCTTCACAAATAAACCACTATCCAGCTCAGAGAACACAACCACATCAAAAAAATCATCTACCTTAGCCACAAATCTCCTCCATCTTAGTCATTAGTCAGAAAATCGGAAAACTCTTTGGAAAACGAATTCAATTGTGGCGATTTCCATAAATATGAAAATCTCACCATTGACAATGTTCTGAATTAATCATGATAGTATACGTTCACACTAAGTTTCTAGATCCCCTTACTACTTTTCTTTGCCATTAAGACAGAGAGATTACAATCTACACTGAAACGAAACAATCACAAAGAGAACTTCTTGTCAATGTACCTAACCTAACCATTTAGAAATATGTTAACACCTTTATTAACATGATATAGAAACTACGATATTACATTTTATTAGTACTTTATATTTAGGACATGACCTCTCAGCTACTAATTTAGGACATTTAATGTTCAGAATGGAGTAATTTATTTGTGAACTTATTCTAATTCCTGATAATCATCAGTTTAATAAAACAAATATGAATGACCCTCCCCATGTTTTTATTTCAAAAATAGGATGTCATTAACACATTAACAGTGATCTGTTTTCACCTTAAATTAAGGTCAATCTGTGTGTAAAGAATTTGATTTCAATATTGAATTGAAGGAATTGACTTTAGTTAAAGGACAGCTATTTCTTCCTGGTTGGGAACTCTTCAGCGGTACCTATCCCTGCCGCAGGGATCGAATCCAGAACCTTCAGGTTACAAGACGAACTCGTAGACTATCGAATCACTTAGATGGAATTAAAAATTCAGCAATCTCATTAATTCTAACTTATGTCGTTCTGCAATATGAGTTTGCAGTCTGTTGATATGAGTGGCAGGTATAATACACACGTGGAATCATCAAAGAATAGACCGGATAACTCAAAAGAGATAACGGTACAACAAAGAAGCTGAAAACTAGGTTTGATTTAACCACTTTTAGACTGATCATTGATCTACTGCAATAATCTGAGAAACTACAGTCCTAGATAAGGGTCTATTGCTACGTTAACGCAGGCATGCATGCTGCTTTTCGCCCATGCACATTAGCTATAGAGCAGCTGTTAATGTTTTTTAACTAATAGCCTTTACCAGAAATGAATTTGGCATTGGGTAACACAACTAAATGCTGTTAACTGTAACAAATTACTATGGATCCATACATTTAAACAAACACCATCTGCACATTTCTTATTTAGAAATATTTCAACTCACCAGGTGTGCAGTATTCATGAACTCTCTTCTTGATGTTAAAGAACAATTCATTGAACAACACAATGTATCCTCACAGCATCGGTCAGTAGATGACATAGTAGTAGTAGTAGTATTTTCATTAGTATGTGAAGTTGTTCTAGGTATCGGTGAATTACCAAGATGCGATCGAAGTCGATTTCTTACTGCATTATAAATCAGCATGGGAAGATCTTCCAACTGATGAACCATTCTAATTAAATTTGTCAATGTATCTATACGTTTTGTCAAAGAATTCGTATACGACTCGAAATTATAACCTGCAGTCTCTTTATTCGATGTGAATCGTTTCACTTTTAAAGGTGCGCCAAATACAGCAAATGCTGTACACCTTGACAAGCATTCAGCTGTCATTTTTGATATCGAACTGGATTCATCAATCAGTTTAAACAGGCGTAATAAATTCATGAGTAAAAATCTTTCTGGTGTTGGTAGAAGCAATTGTAATACAATACGATAAGCCAGTAGTTGACGTGAATGACACAGTATATACACCCAATCGTCATAATTCACCGCATTCGGATCCGGTTGACTGTGTTCATTTATCTTCAGTTTATATTGTAATTCAGTTGCTAAGAATAAAAGATTTCCAGCCTCTAGGGGGATTAAACCACCAGTTTGTTGATATTCCCCATCACTGAAAGAACAGCAATGTTGATGAGGATCATTTGAAGCGTCATAACTAACACCAGTATTGATTGTATCAGTAGCATCAAAACTGATAACCTGATGAATACGCTGAAACTCTGTACATGTAGTTAAACAACGTAGAATAAGACTTGATATATCATGTGGTGAATAACACTCGAGTATTTGTCTAATTTCATATTGATTAATTACTGGATAAGGGGAAAGATTTTCATCAATTGAATCTGGTTCTGGTTGTGGTATACGAAGATAGGGGGACTGGAAATGTTGGTGTAATTTGCACCATAATTCACGGATACGTAAACTGTTACCAGGAATACGGAAAACACCTTCAGTTAGGCATAATTCTGAAAGAATATTAAAGTATAAGTATATTTAATATATATAACGAAAATATTCACTCAGATATCTATAAAATACAAAACAATTGAGCGCAAAGAATATCCTTTTCGATAATTTCCTCTTCTGGCTGTACAATTATGAATAAAACTTTATATACATAGAATATTCTAGAATATTAGTCATTAACAATACTGTTTTTTAAATAATATCGATTTGCAAAGTAAGAACAATCATAATAATAATAAAGATATAATAACAATTAGAATATCAACTAAAATTAGGGGAATTTTTACAAAAAACTGAGGATCATTGGAACCTAAAGATAAACTGCCCAATTTCGCCTCTTCCATGTGTATCTACCAATTTAACTGCTCCTGTGGAGTGAGCCAGTTACTTGCATAGGCCGTACAATTAGGCGTGTTTCTCGTGGAATTTCCGAACATCAACCTGCGTTGTTGGTTAAGTAAAGGACAAACAAAATCTATTCGAAGCGCTATTCTATCTCACTCATCTTGTGGATACAGAACACAAGATTGATGTTAACAAGGCGGCTTTCAAAGTCATTTACCGCATACCAACAAATCTTAATTTCGCCTTAAGAGTTCGACTACTAAATATTGCTGAGGCTGGCTGTTGGGGTCCAGATTAAGAAGTCTAATTTATGCGTCCAAAAGAAGCTAGCTCAGACATTATCCTTACCTTGACCATCTAGGTTTGAATAATCCTAAATTTTTGTGGAATTTTCTTAATTTTAGTTGATATTATAGTTGCTACTATATCTTTATTTATTTTTTTGATTATAGCTTGAAACCACACAGTATTTTCGGTACAAGTATGGAATTTTCAGCATATGATATCGGTAGCCCAAATTTTGCAGGCCGACCATAGATATCAGATGTGCGTCGGCAGGGGATCGAACCCCGTACCATGTGCATGGTCGGCGAGAGTCCTAACCGCTGTGCTACCGACACATCTTTAATGAACTGTAATTCCATTGTGATCTTACTTTGCAAATGGATATTATTTAAAAAACACTAATATTGATATTGACTACTAATCTAGAATATTCTATATACATAAACAAATGTATATAATTGTGGAGCCAGAAGGGGAATTCATCGAAAAGGATATTCTGTCCTTTATTATTTTGTGTTTTATAAAAGTATATTAGTTGATTATATGAATTTAGAATGAATACACATGCGTGTTAATTGATTCAAATGGACTTAAAAACTTCTACAGCAGAACTTCGTGTGATGTGATTAAAAATAAACAAGAATATTTTTCTAATCACCTGAAGTAAATGTAATGCATTCAAACTGATCAGTTACATGCTACATCGAGCTAACAACTCAAAAGCCATTGTTTCGAATCCGTTACCTCAAAGAGTCTCACTATTAGTATAGTTTGAACTGACAAGAGAAGGCCTAACTGGACAGTTAATTTGGGAATGTCAAATCCAGTCAAGATCGTAAAGGCAAAGCAGACCTTTGTTAGTCTGGAGTAAGTATGGAAATCTACTGTAATCAGAATAAAGAACAAGTGAATCAGTTCTTTTAAATGACTCAGAGATCTGATACTCACGTCACTAAAAGTGTTTTCAATAAGCTTTTGTTCCACACTGAAGACCAGATGGTTGACCTACCAAAAAAGGGTTAACAACAACAAAGGACTTGGTCAACGAACTAACCAAGAATCAATCGATCAAGAAATATGCCAAACGATGAATTGGATACACACACTGAGAAGACCTCTGGATGACATCACTCCCCAGGCATAACCTTGAAGAGACTCTCACCCTCGGAAATCGTGTCAGGAAGAGATGAAAGCCTACGGACAATCTTCTTATCAACTGAAGACGACTAAGGAGAGTAGAATGGAATAGAACTGTGCTACTGAAGCCCTATGCTCCTCTAGGAACTGCGTCATTGATTCACATGGAAGCTCGGTGATTTCAATGAACTGAATACGCTGTTAAAGTTCAGTTGGTACAGAGGAAAGCTGTTGTTTTGATTGAAGAAAACTGAAGAAATTGTAAATAAAGTTTTGATTAAGAACGCCTATAGTCTACAAAGTTAACTAGTCTAGTGGTAAGTAGATTTCTAGTTGCTTTATTCTCACTTGTATGTATATATATGAAAGTCAATCATTCTAATGACCATATGAACAACTCTCCTTCTTTTCGAAAAAACAAACGATAGAAGAGTCTAATCAGTTTACTTTACTTTCTGCTTCAATTCCCTTCATGTAAATGATCACAATCTATCAAAATTTACCCCTTGTAAAAAAATATTTTTAAAAAAAACACAAGGGAAACCCATAAATCTCTCCGTTTGATAGATAATCTCTAGATTGTTCTATATAGACTTTCTCACAGATAGATGCTTTTATAGTACTGGCAAGTAAGACACTCCTCCTTCTTTCAGTAATTCTACGAAAAGCACGTACTGTCTGTCTGTTGAGGTATGTACGAGTTTGTGGGGGGGGGGGAGAGAGGCGTGTGACTTTATGGCACTGTTTTGATGAGTTTGAAATGTTCCCCACTTCTGTAAAAAACCAGAACCAACAACACTAACAACAACAGTAGTAATAATAGTAATAAGCACACCATGTAAATTGCCTCTTCCTTGCACGTTTTTAATCAAAACCAGAAAAAAAGAATGATTGTGTACAAAGTACAACGAAAAAAAACTACACTTATAGGCATGGATGTATGGCACAACCAGACGTGGTTGTTAATTATCACAACTCTCTTTGTGTCTTTTAATTACATCGTAGAAACAAACACATCTGTCTACAACTAACACACACTCACACACACAAGCAAACACACTTTTGAATGCATGTTCTCCTCTTAATGATGACAGTTTACAACGGTATGCTGTACACACACTTTAAGAAAATGTACTACTACTACTGTACCATACACTACTTACTTGGATTGGTAATCATATAATCAATCAATGTGGCACAAATTTTTGAATCAATATTACAATAACGTGTACAATAGGCTGCTGAATAATCATCATTTATCCATTTCGTATTATTATTATTCATTGTGAGATAATAATTGTATTGGGAGAGCATAAATGGTGGATAGGTGGTGGTAAATTGACGACTGACAGCCTCACTATTATTATTCGTTATTATTGACTTGGAAAATAATGGTTGAACATGTTTAAAGAAGGATTCTACAAATTAAAAAAAAAGCCAAAAAGCCAAAAAACAGGATGATATTTCTTTCTTTGAAAAACATAACCAAAATTTACATGTCTGTGAATAGTGACCTTTAAACTGAAACACGCGCACATACATACACAAGAGTTATGACAAACCTTCAGGTCAAACTAGAAAATTTTCCTACTACAATTATTATCCACACAAAAATAAATTGACAGATAAGAATAATAATGATAACTTTGATGACGAATGTTATTTTACCAAATTTCGTAGACAAACGATTTTTAAAAAAAAAGGTTCGTCAAATTACCCAATTTAGGCACATGTACAGTAAGCAATGCGTGTAAGCAATGAAGTGGAACGATTGAAGAAAAAAAAGAAGAGGAGAACAAGCAATTTCTTAATCAACATCAATTTTACCGGGTGTGATTAAGAGCTGTTAGACTATTAGACAACTACTTCGTCCTAGTTTGGGACTCTTCATCGGCGCGTACCGATTGGCTAGTCTAGAAATTTTAACTCCTAACCAAGTGTGAACGATACATCACACAATCTCCAGCTAATATCAACACCATCGGTAAGTATTTGTCCTCACAGTCGAATAGGTGAACCCCGTTTGTCACCATTTCCCACTAATATAATAATAATAATAATAATCTACTTTATTCCAAAAACAGTACTTATAATACAGAATGGAATTCCCAGCATTTGTCATCGTATTGCATCTGATTTACTCAAAATATAAATGAAATTAAAATAAAATTAACCGGAGGAATTTGTCCACATTTACGACATAAAGTTAAAAATATTCGAAGCACAAGTTGAGAATATTAAATATAATAATAATAATAAAAATAACAGTGAGTTTGTTTCAAACGGTATTGTCGATTCAGTTTGGAAATTTCAGCATGTTATAGATTATTGGATCTAATGTTTTGTTGATATAGTATAGTGAGGGGAAATACAAAATTAACAGTTATTAACACAGCTTAATTATGCCCATACTTACGAAAAAAATAATAAACAAAACGAAAAAATTGAGAGGATTATAAATATAAGAAGTACGATAACAATAAAGTTTGATGTTGTAAGGATGGAGGAAATGGTTTATTTAGTAGTGCAAAGAAGGTTAGTTAGTTCATGCCTGACACTATTTTCATCACATAAAGTACGTGACAAATATGGTATAATGGAATTCTTGTACTTAGACGTACGTGCATGAATTCTTCTGAAGAGACTTCTTGTTTTAGCTGAGGAGACACAAGGTTGGAGGTGCGGGTAGAGTGGATGCTGACAGTCTGACAAATTCCTTTAGCGAATTTGTTGTATGACATCAAGTGCCTATCAGTGACAATATCAACGATATGGCCCAATGGGATACCACTGGTCCTACTTACTGACAGTCAGTCTTCAGAGTTGTACTAAGTATGACATAGTCTTTTTTAAGCAATCCAGGAGCGAATAAGAGTGAACAGTAAAGAAGAATAGGAAAAATACACGAGTTGACAAACTGTAAGAGCTTCTAATAACTTCTTTCTATTGTTAATCAATTACTCATGGGAATTAGATTGATTTTCGAATGTTAATGTGCAAGGATTTGACGGATTTCAAGATTGGTGATGAGTTGTCTTCGATTACATAACCATCGACCATGTTAACCAGAGGACACAGTGTTCTGACTTCTTGTATGCGTCAGAGAAAAAGTCTCCTCCAAATACTTGACATATGCAGTACACTTCATAGTGTTATATGGTGAAAGTAACTCATTAGTGCCATCATGAGTTCCATGTACCCATTAGCAGATAATCTGGGAATTTTTGAATCGCGAGTGATTTCAGCTTTTGAAAAAACTGATAAAAGTTATAAGCCCTCCTCCGTCTACAGCACATAATACACAACGTATTACAGTTACTCAGCTGTTTCATGTAGCTATCAGTCTCCTATGAATTAGATTACTTTTCTAGAGTGTATGTCACAGAACATATTAAAGCGACATTAGACAAACACAACTATGAACACATCGTCAATAATCAATATATATCTAACACTTACTTGTCTTTGAATGTGATCGACTGGATTGCTTTGTAGGTGTTACATCAAAACGTGCTGATTTCGTCGCAGTATTATTATTATTATTATTACTATCATTGATAGGTAATGGAAACATTGATGGCAGGAGTTGATTAAGGATACGTTTGCTACCAGTTTTTATTTTCATCTTTTTCGATTGATCATCCGATGATTTTGAATTAGACAGTATTAAAGATGGGCATATTGTTATCCGATCACTAGTACTGGATAGAAACAATGGGCTGCCAATTGGTGATTCAAACACTTCATGTACATTGATTTTACTTGTACTACTACTCACTGCATGAGAGCGTAAACGTCCTCGACGATGTTCACCACGTTTATGATTTGATATCATAAGGCGAGTCATTAATGGCCAACCTTGATCAAAATAATCATGTGTTAATTCTAGAAATGATGCCAATGTATGATGACATATTTGTAGAAAGGTATTTGGATGAGTTTGTTGAAATAGACCAATCAAATGCCAAGCTTCTTCATTACGTATTCCACTGATTAGTCGAGAAGCTCTGTGTAACATTCGTGACTAATTTGAAAAGCATAAATATGAACGGAAAAGCAAGAAAATGATGAGTTTCAAGGGATACGAAGCAGTCTCACAGACATGAAATCAATAAATAGAAGGGACAGTACTTGCAACAAACTAATCAGACTAGATGATACCTTTAAAAAATCAAAGATGCCCTTTATCTATTGAAAACTGGTAATGCATCCCTCTCACAAAGGTTACATGGACGAATTTAAGCTATGAGAACCACTCAGTCGACCTTATCACCAACTTTGAGCATCTGATCAGAGTTAAAAGGAAATAAAAGTCGCGAAGTTGTTTAAAAAGAAGACCATAGATCATGATGTTCTGAGAACCATCTAATCAATCTACTCCGAAATCCTAATCCTTCAAAAAGGATGAGTCACCCTGCTGTGACTTGTATGCTGAGCGAAATCCAGAGCAGTAGAGCATAATTTGGTGTTTTTTATATCATCTGTATGTCTAAACTGTTTTCATAGGTCCAGTGGCGGGGTGGCTAGTAGTATAGTTCAACTTCACCTTTCATATAACTTAACATATCACTCAATATTAATTTAAATTCGGATAGAGAGTTGTAAAATACAATGTTAGATTTGACAGATAGATTCTTATGTATGGAATGAACATATCAGACGCTTATGTACATTTCACAATGGGGTTATCAAAACAGAGTGAAAACAACATGCATCTCTAAGGAGATAATACGTGGGAACTATTCTGATACCTGTCTTTCTATATAGGTATATGTTTAATACATCAACATTATATTTGACAGAATCTAAACTGAACAGTCAAAGGAAACTAGAAAATCACGTAGAAATCAAACCTACTACACCCTTGAATCACTATGAATAAGATTCCCTAAGGCGTTTTATATTCCCTCTAGTCCGTAATTATTCACGCAGACAAATTATTTGTGGTCTAAGCCCATCACAGTGTTTTACCACATGAATAAAGTTCAATCGGCTGTAAAATTATACTTTTCTATCTAGCCTACTTATAAGTAGTATAACGCTTAATGAGAAATATTCCCTTGGGAAGTTTTAAATGCTTTGCAAATCGTACACGTGGTCCAAGGGAATGATTTCTTACCATTGACGCACTCTTAAACATTACTTAGGAAGTATTAGACCTATGAGAAGTTAGAAGGTAGAGCATGTGAGGCTAGCAATTTTAACCCCCCTTCCCAATGAAAACAATAAGGAACACCACCTCTGCTCTAAAACATCAAAGCTCAAAGATTCAAATCTTGTGTTCTACCCGTAATGAAAAAGAAAAAAAGCTGCTATTATGCATCCTTTATGAATGTAAGGCATATGTATGTACAAATTTCATGACATTTAGTTACAAATGTAAGAATTCCACTGATTCGATTAGTTTTACTTGTAATTACCCTAAATAAGTACTAAAAGGCATAATCTTGCTTCATTGAGTGAATTCTAAATAGACGTGTACGAACTATGCTTAAAATTCTTGTAGAACTACCCTGACATTTAATGCTACAAGTTACATGAACAACACAGTTTTCTAAACCACTTAATCTTTATTGTTTAAAACACATGTAATGAATAATATATTGCCCAAAACTCAAAGAAAATATGTTCCACTTACTCGAATATCATCTGGAGTAGTCATTGATAAGATCCAGTGCTGATTTATTTAATTTTTAAAAAAAAATCCACAATATGAATACAAGTATCACTTGATGTAGTTAAATTTCCTATGTCAATGTATGCTGCTATCGTAATCCATGGCAGTATTTATTTGAATCGTGTGAAACAAGCCCTTTAATTTGATTGGCTAATACAGTGACTACAGTTTTCGCCTATTCTAATTGGACGTCAATGGTTTATTCCAGTCAATCTCCACCCTACCCCATTTTTCATTTAGATAAGGGAAATGGATGTGTATCATTTTTTGGATCATTCTTATTGGTTGAAATAAGAAAACTGAGAGAAAATCAGAGAGAGAGAGAGAGTGGGGAGGACTAAAATGTTATGTGGAGAGAGAGAGAGAGAGACAGTGAAGAGTGCTTTTTTTTCACATATGACACACGCCTTTCTAGTGGTACATATTGCACATATGAGTTCATTAGTTAGTTGATCGTAAGGACTGGTACAAATAATTTCGTAAAACATGAATTAAACAGATCTTTTTCAACTCTTCCACTGTTTCTAATAAGTTCAAATAATTCTCAAGCATTAGTCTACAGAGATTCGGTCACAATGTGATTTCAGTTGGGGAAGCACTGAAAACCATCAGAGAGTACTCATAGGCTGTTTCCTCCTGGTTTGTGACTCTTCAGGAAACTTGAAGTTAGTCGTATCCCTGCAAATCAAAGCACTAAAAATTAATCTAGTGTTCACTAGTGAGTGAATACAAGATGAAGTTGCTTTAAGTTCTAATAAAAAGTCGTGACCAAGGAGGTTCGCCGAGTTTGAAGACAAATACTCGCCGCTGATGTTGGCTGATGGCCACGCTATATATAGTGAAGTGCCAGAAGTTACAAATCGTAGGCCATCGGGTTACATCCCATTGACTGACTGGTTAATCGACTTATCTGCTAGATGACATTTAGAGTACAATTTATTGCTCACAGTCAAGGGGGGGCGAGTAGACTGACACCCAAGGATAACAATGGGCTTACCTGCTAACTTAAAGGTCTTGGTTTCAGTTCCTGGTGGTGGGGTCATGTACGCATACTGCTGAATAATCCCAAACTAGTACGAAACAACTGTCTAACACTCCTTAGTTTTTAATAGCTCAGATAAATTTAAGATATTTCTCACTCAAATAAAGATGCATAATATTGGGAAATATTCTAAATTTTGAATTCCTCTTAACCATTACACAGTCTGAATTGGAACCTCTAGTTAGAGTATATTAGTGAAAAATGGGTTATTTTCAAGTATTGGTTTTGTAGCGATTGTGTTTGATTAGTTGGAGGATTTCATCATGAGCTGATATCAGTCAGAGAACCATTGGAAAACCATCTGGGAGTACTGGGCAGCTGTTTCGTCCTATTTTGAGACTCTTCAACACTACGCATCCACTCGTATGTCCCAAACTAGGATGGGGGAAACGGCTGTCCAGTAATCCGAGGTGGTTTTCCACTGGTTCTCTAACTGACATCAGCTCATGATGAAATCCTCAAAAAATGGGTTAGTTTACTGTCGTTACAGTGAAGGGGAGAGGGAAAATTCCCTTGTGTAAAGACATATAACGATTGCGTAATAAGCCAAGATAATCCAAATTAACAGATAACAAATAATCTAGGCCTCAAAATGGTTATGGGTCGAATTATCCCTTTTGTACAAGACACCTAAAAAATCACATGTGTAGTGTGATATAAACTGTAAGTTGGATATAGGAAATCATCGTGTTCTGCTATAAATCTCCTTATATACTAACTATTACAAATGAAATGGGTTACAGGAATCAATCACTGGATAATTACTTACCTAACCACAAAAACCGAAATAATGTTGGTCAAAATTAGCAATCTATATCTAATTAAAAATGCCCATTAAAATTTTTTTCAAAAGAATGGTTCATGAACAAAGGATATTCTTTTCGATAACCTGCTCTTCATCGGGTTCTACAGTTATATATCCATCCATAATAGTGAATGAATTAGTGTTATTAACAAAATGAATGTTGTTTGAATAACTTCCAATCAGTAATAATGATAGTAATATCAATGGATTACAGTTCGATAGCATCAACATAACCATCCGCTGAATATCAGAAAAAATTAGGAAAGGTAATAATAATAATACGAATTCATGAATTTACAGCCTCCACTAAAGGCCGGCCAGGGCAGTAGTAATGGCTGAACTTGCTTCTTATGTATACAGAGCGCCGGGTTTTTTTCAGGCGAATCGCGATAGCCTCAGCTGTTTGGAGTATGCGGTGCCTAGACGTTTTTAGTAAGTTATTTGGTACCCAGTAGATGATAGAGAAGGACTCTTCAATTCTGGCTTTCTGGCTGGTTTGGATCAAGTGTTCTAATATCCAGCTATTGATGCTTCTCACTGCACCTTTATTTAACCATACTGGTAGGTGTTCCCTAGAGCAAAGGGCCAATATAACTCGCTCCACAAGCACAGTTGAATTGGTAGATATGATGTGAACTTGCAATATACTCTATCGGTAGGTAGTTCCATGGAATATTGTCAGTGCTAATGACTTTTCATCTATGTCCATTACTATGCCATGACGTGATTATCGATGTATTCCAAATACACATATGGTAGAACAATCAAGTGCGTCGGTGACATAGCGGTTAGAACCCTCACCGACCATGCACATGGTCCGGGGTTCGATCCCCGGCCAAAGACATACTCCTTTACCTCGCTAAGGCAGAAATAATGCTGGTGAAGAGGGAAGGTTGGGGAGGGCATGAGGCTAGCAACCCCATCCTGTAAAATAAACACTGCTACAGATACTTCAAGCCATTAGCTTGAAGCTCTATGTTCCACTGGGGAACGTGAAGGAAAAAAAGAACAATCAAGGTGTGGTAAGTCTGGTGTAGAAGTCAAAAAATTGTAATCCTTTGAGTGATACCAACTGAAAACTTTCAGGATGTATGAATTTCTTAATGGACTCAAATGCAACTCGCTGCTCAATGCTAAGCAAGCATAGACCTAGAGGTCTAGTGGATAATGCTTTATCGTTTGAAACCATGGGTGCTGGCTTCAAGTCTTTGTAGGAACACCATCACTCATTAGGAATATAGGTGCATTCGGCTGACGGGTCTTAAACAGGCCGAAACACACATCCTGCATTCCACTACTAGGCACTATCAACTAAAATAACATGATGACTTTTTCGCAAACCCTAACGATGTGAATAACGAAGTCAAGTTAAATTATTCAATCTATCAGCCAACCCGATGATTATGCTATCTCAGTAAGATTTAATCATATTCCAATTAAAACTAATGCCAGAAATGTTCACGTCAAATCATTCAGACTAAAACATTCGAATGAGAACATATAAGTTATCGCCAGAGAAAGAATTTACCTCTCATCTGGTTTCTCCTGTACTTAATGAACGGATAGGATAGAGGCAAGTGGTCAGTTGCGAATAGAACATAGGGCTTCAAAAGCACATCTACATTTTATCCTGTTTTCTGCAGTCTTTTTTAGCTGGTTTCACGATTTCCCGTAAGCTCTCATCTCCCCCATGTTACCATCGGATCACCATCAAATTGGTTGCTTCTCATTTAAGTTCCACTCGAGGTCATGCCTAGTGTGTTATATGACTTAACGGTCCCTTCAGCGTATACCTGATTCAAATTCATTACCTTCAGCGTATCAGTTGGTCGGTCGATAGGTTGTTGGTTTATTAATTTCCACAGTTTCTTGTTGCTCGTCCTTTCTCACTGGCCATCTGGTCTTCAACACTAAGCTAAGGAAGTAGTAACAGGCTGCTGCAAATGCTTTTCGTAATTCATTCGCCAAGTCTCTAAACTATACAGTAGTACTGACTAGACATTAGTGTTGAAAATCCTTATCTTGTTCGTTGGGCTGAGTGCAGTATATTACCACACTAATTTCAGAATGATAAACGTCTGTCTGGCTTTTCTGATGGTGGCCGGTTTTGATATTCTCATCTGTGCCACCACCTGTTGTTGAATTGATGCTACTTAGGTCAGGCAAGTGAATGAGACAATTTCCCTTAGACCTCTCTAGTTCATGGGGATTGGCCCTTGTCGGTGTTGATTAGGTATCTTCACTACCTGATATCTTTTCTATGTTCTGCCTTCGCTAACTCCTCTCTCTGCCAACTTGTCAGTTTTCTCCTGTAGATCTTCGAATTTTCTTAGTTGGTCTTAGGTGATTTTTTAATGCGTGCTTAGAGGGATATTGTTGTCATATCAGACGTTTAACGATTTTAAAAGCATTCGTTTTGTAGGGCTTTTTTGTTTGATTGGTTGGAGGATTTCATCATGAGCTGACATCAGTTAGAGAACCATTGAAAAACCACGTGGGAGTACTGGACAACTGCTTCCTTCGTCCTAGTTTGGGACTCTCCATCAGTACGTACCTAGCCAACCGACGGAGTTCGAAGCGATGACTTTCTGGTTACAAGACCAGTGAGCTCGTAGACCATTAAGCCATTGGGACCAAATCCAATGGCCAGTCCATGAATTATAACTTCTGCCAATTGACGATATGGCGCAACCACTTCTCAATGCCTTTTCGATGAGTTACTGCCTCACCTTCAACCTGCTGTACCCTACTGGTCACGGCTTCTCACTAGAACCCCAGGTTAACTTCCTGAATAGGACCAGTCGCTAGTGAATATCAGATTAAAACGTTTGGCAAAGTTCAACAACAGCGTCCCAAGGGATGTGAACGCATGGGTGACCTTCAGCCGACCAACTATAAAAAAATGTGGAATTTCCAGTAAGAGAATTGACGACTACTTAGCAGGAAAATCTGGATAAGAAAACAAACTAAATTAAATGACATCAACTCTAAATCTATCCCTAGTCGTAACCCTAACCTTAATGCTGACCCTAACAATAACCCTAAACTTAAGCCTAACCCTAACCCCAATACTTACCTTAATCCCAACTCTAACAAGCTACTAACACACTGTCCAAACACTACTTGAAAACGTGATCTGAGTGAAATTTGCTGCTTAGTCGGTGAACCATTGGGAAACCACCTGGGAGCACTGGACAGCTGTTTCATCACACTTTGGGACTCTTC